AAGGTCAAAGAAACTGCCTACAAAACTTATGTAAGGCCCCAGTTACAATACTGTTCCACGGTTTGGCATCCTTGGCAAACATATCTAGTTTACAAAAAAGAACAAGTTCAAAGGTCAGCTGCCAGATATGTATACAATGACTACAATTACACTAGTAGTGTATCTGAAATGATAAGTGAACTTTATTGGCAAACCCTAGAACAGAGGCGCAACATCAGCTCTGTTACCCTTAGTTCTGGCTTCTATAACTTTATATGCCGCTTTTATTTTTACGTTGTTCGAACAGGTCTAGCAGTACTATAAAACATGTTCGCTGAAGTATCTTTAGCTATGTTACCCTCCTCTACAAAATCCAACACAATCATGTGAGGGTCAACCATCACCAGCTGACACACACTAGAAACCTGAACTTCGGAATACCATATTCAAGGACACAATACTACTCCTATTCATATTCGTCTGTGGAATGGCCTACCCGTGTCCCCAGTTTAGACCTCTTTACTAGGCAGCCGTATCCGTTTTACCAGTTCTAAGCCAGCTTTGTTTTTAACTTTTATCTCCGTCTTGTAGTTCTTTTTAACTTGCTTTTAGCTTATGTCTATAAATTTGCACTTGACATATTTGTTTTAACAGCTATTCCCAGACAACGCCCTGCTTAGTGTAATCGATTACGATTTTGAAGCAGTATATTGTCTGAAACAATCATCATTTTCTTGCAACGATCTTGTTTGTTTAGAAAATTAATTTTAGGTTATAAAGTAAAGATAGTTTAAATATTCAAAACTTAGCATTAAATCATTTAATAAAAATCATTCAAAATGGCCGACCTATGATCTACGTCGTGACCATTTAAGATCTGATTTTATTTGAATATGTTCTTGTTTCCTGGTGCCATGCAACAGAAAATACGTAAATGTTTTAACTTATGACAATTGTTCGTACCGTAATTTTATTCATTCCCTGCGGTCTGGAGACCGCAGGGTATTGGTACGCGTTTAACTTTTGAGGCATGGAGGAGCACGTGACCTGTTTTCGGTACATGGGAGAGCATGTGATCTGTAAACCGTACATGATTGGTTAATTGACCTTTTCGAAAACCTGGCTAAATACCGTTTGCCGGTACGTTACGGATAATCCTCTAGGGAATAAGTCAGAATAACACCTAATTAAGAACAACAAAACTATTACGTGATATTTTTAATTTTCTATAATTATGTTACCGTTTAAGGTGGAAAACATTGAATGATGTGTTTGAAAATTATCAATGTTTCTTTAATATGTATCTCAAAATGTTACAAACAATAAATTGTTTATACTGAAAATCTACAAAATTAAAATATTCGTAGTGGCATCTGCCATAATAAATAGAGATATTTTCTGCGTAAACTTGTGTGTTTACTTTATTTTATTTTTTTTTGCTCGGAATTATTCATAAAATGGTAGGCCTATTTAATCATTTTCTTAAAAAGAAATAATTGTTTTATGTTAAAGATGGATTTTTGGCATGTTTAAAGATGGATATATCGATGTTTAGCCATTTTAGGTGAACAAATTTTCTCTAGTAGTGCATGTGGTGTAGAAATATAGAACCTTTAACAGATGATTGATGCTGAAAATCTGAATCTTTCGCAGTGAAACGTACGTGCTACATAACTATAGTATCAATCTGTGAGAAATAGTGAGAAAGTTTAAATTGCTCATAAATTAAGTACATTTTCAAAGATTTTAAAACGATTTTAAACGTCCAAAAAGCATTGTTTTGTACTTGATAAAAATGGAGAAACTTGAATGTCTATGATTATCATAGACTACGTTTTTACCTAATAAACAGCAGCTGCTGCATGCTTTCGAACAGACGACTGCATGTATATGTTTTCAAAATGAAAACCAAGGAAAGTCCATACATCGTACATTTAGTTAAAAAGTAATCTTCCCTCTAAAAGTTACTGAAAACGTACATTTCTTTTGGTAACGTTCGTTTCAGAAGCAACTTAGAATACTAATTTTGTTGACTACTAGTATTTTCTCTCAGATACTTTAATTAAGATATGATATGTACTAACCTTTTCGTAATGAAGAATCTCAAAGAATTGACGAGAAACAGTAATTCTTTTTATGTATCATAATTATCTAAGAAAAAACCATCTTCGAATTTATTCATAAAATGGTTTTGAGCTTAACATAATAAAATCAGAGACATATTATAACAGAGATATGCAACTTTTGTTATATAACTATGCATAAGACGAAAAAACTGGCTCAGTGGGTATGTTCTGCTATGTTTTTTAAGTGGAAGACATAGAGAAAGTTACAAATATTTTAACATGCAGCAATAGATTAAACTTTTAACTTTCAAATAGTGTATACTATAAGAGGATCAAATCAACACCATTAAAGCAGCACGCCTCCAGATTCATGCTAATTTTCATGAAAATTTTAAAAATGTATCTGAATGTTTAATATTGTGTATTAACCAAATGGAAGCAATTTACACGTTTTCAATGCCACATACAACCCGCGTAAATTATCAAAAAGTGGTCAAAATTTGCATAAATAGCCCTTACTGCGTTAGTAACGCAGTAGAAATATAATTGTTTAATATTGGAAAATCAGTCATTTATCGCACAGAACATATAAAATATTTCTTGAATCTTGAATAGTTTTATATTTCCTAAAATTTAAGTTCATTTTTCTCAAGGTTGATTTTATTGAAATATTATGAGTCATCTGGAGGCATGTAGCTTTAAGTTTTAATTGCTATAACATGCCTAATTTTTCACTTTTCTATCGGGATGAACGATATTTTAATGTAGGATCTGCTTAATTATCTCTGTGATAAATAAAAGTATGTTTGTTTTTTGCAGTGATGCTACATGTCTTATACTACTCCCACATTCGTTGAGTACAGAACGCCAGGTACCACGCAAACGACGACACACTAATATTTTATGTGAACAACTTGTAACTAACGATCCAAATAAGGATAACCGTTTCAAAGGCACTGTTAAGTTGCATGTTGTGATAGGCCATGGGGTGTAAAAAAATTCTATTTGGAATATGAGCTGCACATAACTGTTGTAGTTTGAATCGGGATTGTAGAGCCACAGCTATAAACAGCTTCTGTCACATTCATTTATAGCAAAATAGGATCATTTAAACAAAACAAAGATGTACAAATTATATCAAATACAATTATAAAGTTATAATTTGGAGAACAAAGATGTTTCACTAGATAGAAACACAACCGTCGGTTAACATATTTTTATATTAATTTTGGCTTTCAAAAAAAAAAAGGACAATGAAATCACTCCCATTAAAGTACTAGTATACCAGATATCTATAAACAACCTAAAATTTGTTAAATAAGATTGTTTTTGTTCTTCTTGTTAAGTTTGTATGACTATACATGTATATATTTGTATGGCTATAAAAGGGGTATATATTTAATGCCAATAAAATATTCTGTTCAGTTCATATTGTCCGGTACATTTGTTCTTACTGTTAACCGTGACAATTATTACATTGAGCTTACATTCATAAAGAGATATCCAAGAATGTTTTATTCGTTTTCGGCCAAAAATTTTGATTTTGGTTACACTTGTAAATAAATATTACCCTCCTTCAAAATTGGAAAATAAGTTAAAAATCGTAAAGCTTAGCCTATGGTTTTTAGTTGTAGGAGGCACTTCATGTTTAAGTAAACTTTGAATTTATTCAATTGTGATATCTTGGCTATCCTTTTTTATGTTGGAAATGGCCTAAGGTATATATGTATTGTTTATGCCAATATGCCAAGAAAGAAAGAGAAGTAAAGAGACGAGAAATGAAATGTGTAAATTGTGAAATATTTGCTTGAAGACGAGTTCATATGACAAACGTATTTGTTTACATTCCTTTTTTATGCCCCCACAGAGTGGGAGCATGTAGCGTTGCACTTGTCCGTCCGAGTGTCCGTCCGTCCGTCCGTCTGTCCGTACGTCCCGAAATCTTGTGAACGCAACTCCTCTTAAACCGGATTGCAGATTTTGCTTAAACTTCCAAGGATGAATAACCTTAATGTGTAAATGGTAGTAAAGGAAGGAATTTTTTCTGCGACCAAATTTAACAGAATTATGGCCCTTTGTTGATTTTTTCACTATATACTATGTAGAAATTTTGTGAACGCAACTCCTCTTAAACCGGATGGCAGATTTTGCTTAAACTTCCAGGGATGAACAACCTTAATGTGTAGATGGTATTAAAGGAAGGAATTTTTGCTGCGACCAAATTTAACAGAATTATGGCCCTTTGTTGATTTTTTCACTATAAACTATGTAGAAATTTTGTGAACGCAACTCGTCTTAAACCGGATGGCAGATTTTGCTTAAACTTCCAGGGATGAACAACCTTAATGTGTAGATGGTAGTAAAGGAAGGAATTTTTGCTGCGACCAAATTTAAGAGAATTATGACCCTTTGTTGATTTTTTCACTACATACTATGTAGAAATTTTGTGAACGCAACTCCTCTTAAACAGGATGGCAGATTTTGCTTAAACTTTCAGGGATGGGCAACCTTAATGTGTAGATGGTAGTAAAGGAAGGAATTTTTGTTGCGACCAAATTTAACAGAATTATGGCCCTTTGTTGCTTTTTAGATTTCAACTTGTGGCACATGTAGTCCAAAAAATATTTGACCTAGAGTCATAAGATTGACAGAACAGTGGCGTGTGGGGGCATCCGTGTCCTATTGACACATTTCTAGTTTTTTGTTGTTATGTAAAAATGTAGATCTTTAGTTTTGCATAAATTTGCCGACTTCCATTATTATCATTTATGTTGTCGAAAAGGAATTTCTGTATAGAAACATTAAAATTGTGTTCTATATTGTGCCAGTTTTCGATTTGATATTGATTTTCTTCAAATTAAAAACAAATAAGACGGAAACTAATGATACAGGACGTGAGAACATTGAGCGTCATCTTGTAAGTGTTTCACCGGATATGATAATGATGAGACTATAAACACTTTAGATATATTTTTGAACAAACAATAAGATGATTCAGTAATTGTGATAATAAAGTTGGTCTGTCTGTAAATTTGAATTTTCATCTATATAGCTTTAACAGGTTTTTATGATTAAATTCTTTCTATAAATTATGGAACGTTGGGGTGTCATAGGGTTTGCTTTGGTGTGTATTGCAATACGTACGGGTAAGATTTTTTTTTTAATTTTATCAAAAGCATGCTTGCATGATTTTTAAAGATATTTTAAAGATACTTTTATTTTGTTTGTCAGTATAATAACTTTCAATGCAATTACATGTATATGCACTCGAATTGAACATTAAACTTTACATACGATTGTTTAATTGACTTCCCCACTCTAAGATGTGTGTTCGGTTGAACTTAAGCTATTACTTTAGATTTAGTCCTCCAGACTGATAAAGTATATTTGACATGTAACACCATACGTATGCACATACAGTCACATGCAAACCTATGGAAAGCCATGGCTGTCTGATATTGTTCTTTTTCAATTTATGTAACCATTTGGATAATATATGAGTGCATTTCGACTATATATGAATTGAAAATACCTTCTTATTTAACCGGAATCCATTATATTAATCCACAGTTACAATATATGAAACCATACTGTCAGTGTATGAAACCGAGTTAGCAATATATAAGTTGATTTTCTCAATATATGATTCCAATTCTTCAATATATGGTACCAAAGTTGCCATGTATGGAACCAGATGTCCTTATATGAAACCAAATTATCAATATATTAATTCATTTTTACAATATATGAAACCATTTTATCAATTTATGGAACCAAAGTAGCAATATATGAGTTGGTTATACCAATTATTCAATATATGGAACCAAAGTAGCAATGTATGGAACCAGGTGTCCTTATATGAAACCATATTATCAATATATTAATTCATTTTTACAATACATGAAACCATTTTATCAATGTATGGAACCAAAGTAGCAATATATGAGTTGGTTATTACAATATATGAGACCAATAATTCAATATATGGAACCAAAGTAACAATGTATGGAACCAGGTGTCCTTATATGAAACCAAATTATCAATATATTAATTCATTTTTACAATATATGAAACCATTTAATCAATGTATGGAACCAAAGTAGCAATATATGAGTTGGTTATTACAACATATGAGACCAATAATTCAATATATGGAACCAAAGAAACAATGTATGGAACCAGATGCCCTTATATGAAACCGAATTATCAATATATTAATTCATTTTTACAATATATGAAACCATTTTATCAATGTATGGAGCCGAAGTATCAATATATAAGTTGATTATCACATTACATGATGCCAGATCTTCAATATATGGATCCAAGTAAGTCATGTATGGAACCAGATGCCATTATATGAAACCGAATTATTAATATATTAAATCAATTTTACAATATATGAAACCAGTTTATCAATATATGTAACCGCAGTAGCAATATATAAGTTGATTTTCACATTATATGATACCAGTTCTTCAATATATGATACCAAAGTAGCAATATATTGAACCAAAATGTCATTATATTGACGGGACTTTTTTTAAAGGCTGTATTCTATCCTTGCACCGGTATTACAGTTTCGCTCCAATATTCCTTGTTTAAAGAACAGCGAACAGCGTGCTTCACTGACTGCATACTGCACATTTTCTGAATAAGAAAATATTTGAATTTAACGTCACATTCACTTAAAATGAGCTGGGCAGGCAAAACTTATCGTTATATATGTACGAGTTGTATGTCATACTTTAAGCTACTGAGTCGTACAAAAACAAAAACATATTTAAAAAATAAGTTCATCGCGACCTTTACCTTTGATAAAAAATGGGCAGGGCCAGTAGGACACATTAAGGTTAATCTACTCACAAAGTTTAAAAAATAATCAGCCAAATGATAATTGATTTCATGAAAAACTGTATGCATTGTAATAACAGAACCCAATGACCTCGGCCTTTGACTAGTTGACTTGAAAATATGCTATTTTGGTTCCATAAAATGTAACTTCAACTTATATACTGCTACTTTGGTTCCATACATTAATAAAATGGTTTTATATATTGTAAAAATGAAATAATATATATTGATAATTCGGTTTCATATAAGGACATCTGGTTCCATATATGGCTATTTTGGTACCATATATTGAAGAACTGTTATCATATAAAGTGATAATCAAGTGATATGTTGCTACTTTGGTTCCATACATTGATAAATTGGTTTCATAAATTGTAAAAATGAATTAATATATTGAAAATTAGGTTTCATATCAGGACATCTGGTTCCATATATGGCTACTTTGGTACCATATATTGAAGAATTGGTATCATATATAATGTATTAACCAACTAATATATTTCTACTTTGGTTTCATAAATTGATACATTGGTTTCATATATTGAAAAAATGAATTAAAATATTGATAATCCGGTTTCATATAAGGACATCTGGTTCCATACATGGCTACTTTGGTACCATATATTGAAGAATTTCATATATTGAGAAAATCAACTTATATATTGCGCATAACTCGGTTTCATACACTGACAGTATGATTTCATATATTGTAACTGTGGATTAATACAATGGATTCCGGTTAAATAAGAAGGTGTTTTCAATTCATATATAGTCGAAGTGAACTTATATATTATCCAAATGGTTACATAAATTGAAAAAGAACAATATCAGACAGCCATAGCTTTCCATACAAACCGGTACATTTTGTACATCTGATATTCCAATGTTACAATATATAAATTCATGCTTAGAGTCGCTATTTTACTCGTATTGTTTCATTCTAGCATAGTAAGATGTGGTAGATATAACGTAGCCTTGTGCGTGTCCGTTCCTTTGTTAATTAGCTATGATAATTGTTGAAATATTTTTTTAGATAGATGAAATATTTCAGAGCTTGTGTGGTGAGTTTTGATCAGAATATCAATATGAGCCCAACTATATGTTTTTCAATGGTCAAAGATCTTGATGTTGAGCGGTCTGTTTATAATAAAGCACGGTATGTCGTTCATATGTGTAATTAATACTCGGGTCTACGGCCTTCGTGATTATATTACTGCGCATCTGAACTCCATACCGTGCTTTATTATAACACAATCACTGAAAATCAAGATGTATTTTCTAATTTCAAAATGATCATGCGCAAATGTTTAAGTAATAATATCCATTCAATAGTGCTAGAAACATGTATGTATATATATCCTATGTCCGGTGTAAAAAATAAATCACATAAGAGGTTACAATGAAATATAGTAAAATAGAGAGAAATAAGAATGTCTAAAGAAAGCCGAACGGCAAAATTGAAAATGTTGCAGGCTCGGTTTGATTGAGCCTGTTCATGGACGGTACTGTCAAGTGCAAACTACCGTCCACGCCCCCTAGCACCGCCTTAAGTAGAATTCAACATTTAACACGAAAATGGTGAAATTTTGAATTTAGAAACATCCACAGATGCGTAAATATAGTAAGGCATATATAATAATAAGCATCTGTTGCTTTAATTAGCGTTGTTCTTTTAATTGTGGCATGTATTTTGGGAGAAGAGATATGAATTTTGCACCATATTTTAGTTGGTTTAGCAATGCTATACGGCCGAGTTTAAAATTTGAGCTGGAAAACGTTTTCCCCACACTTTACTGTTTTACGAACACCTATAGTGTGTCTGGCAGGACGAACGAACGAACAATGGCAATGTTTTTATATATCTATACCATACCCCCTTTTAAATGAATATGCATGCATATAAATTAATATTTTATACCGCTGTATATTGTATACGAGCTTGCGGTACATATATAAACAGCTAGATTATCTATGGGTTGAGAATGCAACAGTTTCCGTTCAATAAGAGACCTTTGTTCCGAATACACTTAAATGATTTTTCAATTATTACATTATAATATCTTGCTTCGAAGCGGGACACATCTGATTAGATAGTAGCTATCCATTTTTCCGGATAAAATATTACAGTAGTGGTAAAACCCCCTTTTACCACTACTAAAATTAAACAAAACATTCTTAGATATGAACAGCTTTCCTGGTATCAGTATGATTCGCAATCGCATCTTGCTCGACCCTTTCCGCAAAACTTCTGATATTTAGCGAATCAGGCATACAGCTTGTCACTCATTGTCAGTCTTTCGGAGACATTCAGCAGACGAGAAGCACTGTTGCATAGTCAGATTCAAAGAGAGATTGATATGTTTACATGATGTTGTCAACACTATGAACCTATCTGGGGATCAGTTCAGTGATTGGTGAAGTTGTTGGTGGTGTTGTTAACGATTACAATGGTTATGAAGTTGCCGTATATGATGCAGTAATTATACATGTGATATTGGTGGTTATTTCATACATTGAAGTTGTTGATTTTGATGATGATGTTGTTAATGATGATGATGATGTTGTTGTTGTTGTTGATGAGGATGATGATGATAATGATGATGATGATGATAGTAGGTATTGATAGATGGCTAATATGAACAGACATATAGTCTTATTGGTCACTATATAATATGCTGTTCCTTGCAGAGACATGACTATAGTTATATTTGCATACATGAAGATAAATGTTAGATATTTATAAATAACTTAAAGTTGAAATGCCGTTGTATATTTGAATGAAAAATCGTGCTTCCTATGCACCAAGGACATTGATAGTAACAGTTGTAGAAATTACGTTTTAAAAGTGTAATAATTTCAATTTGTTCCGTTAGATTTAAAATTGCCTTATTCAATTTGCCTAAATATACGAAGATTATTTATTTATCTAGAAAGAGAAAAAAGCTAACTGCTAATTTTACACATTGTATCTTGTTAAATTGTTGCATACAAAAACTGCTGTCCCCATCTGTTCCTTATATTATTTATTGCCATTATAGCGATAGTCATTCTCTTTAATTAAATACGAGGTATGATCAAAAAATTCTCGGCCCGATATACTTCTAGCCACTACACTGACATTTACTCACGATACGCCGATCTTATTGAAGATTACTGACCGAGTTAAACGCGGTTTTACACAGATTAAGTAACATAAAACACACATTGATCGGTAGAGGGGTATGTCATTTAGACCAAATGGAGAAAGAAAGTTGAAATCAGAGCCGTCATTAAGAAAGGACATACCCAAAGGAAATCCATGAAGACTTCATGGAAACACGTGGGAAGGAGTCCCCTTCCTATGGCACTTTGAAAAATGGGCAGCTGAATTTAAGAGGGGCCGGGAGAGCATTGGAGATGATGAGCGGCCTTGGCAACCAAAAGAGGCCACCAACGATGAAATTGCCGAAGCTGTGCACGACCTGGTCATGTGCGACAGAAAGCGAGACCTGCGAAGTATTGCTAGGGAAGTGGGTATAAGCTTTGATTCAGTTCAGAAATTCTGATTGATGTCTATGTCATGTCAAAGGTTACCGCTAGATGGGTCCTCAGACAGTTGACTGACGAACAGAAACGGACCAGGCTTGACATTTCAAGATATCTTTTTTGTCTCGCTATGAGGGTGAACCTGATTTTATCTATCGGATCGTAACTCAGGATGAAACATGGGTCCATCTATTCGATCCATAATACAAAAAATAAACAGAGCGTGTAAGGGAAGCACCCTGGCTCACACCCTCCGAAGAAAATCAAGAGGATGCCATCAGCAGTGACGATGATGGCTTCAATTTTTTTGATAGTCAGGGGATAATCATGATTGACTATCTTGAGCAAGGTCGTACTATAAACGGTACGTATTATGCAGAAGAATTGAGACATCATCTGCGTCAAGAAACCGTGGGGCAAACTGACTCAATGCGTTCTGTTCCTGTACGACAATGCGCCAGCGCACACATCCCAAGTTGCGATGGCAGCTGCAACTGACTGCGGCTTTGAAATTCTTCCTCATCCCCCATATTCTCTGGACTTGCCCCCCTCTGATTTCTATACCAGTTTCCGAAAATGAAAACTAAGCTTCGTGATAGACGTTTTGGAAGGAATGAAGGTGTCATGGAGGCGGTCAATGAGTTCTTTGAGGACCAAAATAGAGAGTTCTATTTTGAAGGTTAAACAAGTTGGAGCACATATGGGCAAAGTGTATTGATGTAGAGGGCGATAATATTGAAAAGTAAGACCATTAGTTGGGTTCTCTGACTACCGGAAGTACATCGGGTCAAGAAGTTTTTGATCAATCCTCGTATAGTTGTTTGAAAATATAATTAAAAAACCCACAGTTAGAAACAAAACTTTTTGATCATGTTGTTGCATTTATGTGACCTGATTGTAAATAAAAGTATTATTTTTGCTGTTGTTGTTGTATTCTGAATAGTTATACCAGTAAAGGTAGGTTTGTTATGTTATTTTCAGGGTCACAGTCTATTGGCAAAACTCCAAAGCTTGCAGTCGTGGGAGACAACGTGCCTCTTGAATGCACCGGTGCAGACGATAAAAGAGAGGTTTGTGGCTGATTTATTATATATTAATGGTATTATCAAGCTTTAGATTACCCAACCATGTCAATTGCCATTCAGCTCATTTTCATTTTAACATAATAGAACAAAATCTTCTTTTCTCCAATGACCAAATATCAAAAGCGAAATGCGGTGTGAATAATCTTTATCTGCTTTACTTTCATAAATAATGTGATTGTTCAATTATTGTGTATATAAAGGTTAATTGGACAAGCCCTAATGGTGACAAACTAACACATGGTGAAAAAGTGCTGACGCTTGACAATCGGTTTGAAGTGCATCACAAGTTACGGTGGTATTTGCGCATAAACAACGTGAGCATCTCAGATAGCGGCGATTATGTCTGTGTCAGCAACGGCGATCATCAACACGTGATAGAATTAGTTGTCAATGGTATTTAAAAGAATATTTTTACCATAGAATCTGATAATTTTTGAAAAGTTTTGAATCAATTTCTTCTGTTTTGCCGCAGTTTAAAGATCCTGTAACTCATTTTTTACGCTTTTATATCATAATTATGATGCTCAAATGAAGATTTATCAATATTGTAAGTTCCAAAAAGCATTAATTGTAAAGATATTGCCGAATTTACATTTCGTATAAATAAAGGGAGGTAATTAGAAATTTATTTTCGATAAAGTCTAAGCCAAATTTTTCAATAAGCAATGTTTGCATATATTTTAATGATTACTTATAATACGTTTAAACATTTTCAGTACATATTTAACATATTTTCCGATGTTTGGAGATTGTTTTAGAAAAATAGTTGTATACATACATAAAATTTCTCTTAAATGTTGTTACATCCTTAATTACAACATACAGGATCTTTAATTAATACAACCGTCTGAATTTATCTCGTTCTTTCAAAGAATTAACATATTTTGCCTAATATGGATTAAGTCATAATTATAAACGGACTTAAATTTCTGCATAACATCTTCTCACTTTATAATGTATATCCTATCTGATAAAGCTTGCTTATTGAAATCGACGTTTAAGTATTGTGACCTCTTTCAGAATCTGTGACAGATAATTTAGTGTCTACTACACAGTCAACTACTACTACACAGTCAACTACTACTACACAGTCAACTACTACTACACAGTCACCTTCTACTACACAGTCACCTACTACTACAGAGTCACTTACAACGGACCCCAGTAAATGCTCTGGTAATAAACTCTGTTATTTGGTTAGGAACAATATTTACATACAATTTGTTTTTAAAAATAAAAACAACAACAAAACAACAGAACGGAAGTTTTTTCACGGCTTAAGTCTGCATGGAAAGATAATTACAGTATGTATTTTCCAAAGGTTCAATGTAAGTCATATAAAATTATATTAATTAGTATAGCGATAGGTAGCTCCTAAGTCTGGTGTCGGCCGACAGTGAATAGCAACCTCTCCAAGGAAGTTTTTCCAATACTGATCATGTTCATTAAATTTACCCGTATTTCAGACAAACATTCAATTCATTTATAATGGCTGTAATTTATATATACAAATGGCTGTATCAGTCTTTTCAAAATTTAACTAATTTTTATTGATAATATTTATAAAACATATTTTATAAGCTTCGGATATCAAGTATTTATCATATCCGGCATTTGTCAGCACATTGTCTCTTTTTCGAAACATAATTTTAATTGATTATATCTGAATAAACATATTAAGCTACCGAAGCATATATAAGCAATATATAAAATGTCACTTCCGACTGTTAGGATATGAGTATTAGTCATATAATATTATAATTGATATATATGTAATTGTTAATATTATTCTATAACAGATTGTCTGGAATATTTAATGCTCTTATTCAGCCGTCGATATGGCGAAAATCTAACATAAAATTACAGGTTTTTGCAATCGATGACGAAGCAAAACCTATTTTATAATATTCTATTTTATATAAAGGTTCAAACTCTATTAACTTTATGTTACTTAATGACCAGTCATGACGGAAATTTTATGCCAACCATAAATAAAACAAGTTAAACATATATGTTGCATTTATTATCATTTGTTGCTTTAAAGTGACTATGTTGGAAAAATAATTCTTGTAAAATATAAATGACTTAATTATTTTATGTATTGTAAATATCTTAACCCAAAATTAAATCTCAGAATTGTTAAAACAAGTTCACTAGGTTGCATAAGATAGTCGTCATCATTGCTAGAACTTCTGAGGTAAAAATTTCATTACATAACTTAATTACTATTGCTCATACTTAAATGATTTTTTCTATCATGAAACAGATACACGACCATGTAACAATTCTGGCTCCTGTGAGAACGGCTCTTGTATCTGTCACAGCAACTTTACAGGTAAGATGATTCCTGTTAAGGGGGAGGGGGGGGGGGCGAAAAAGAATAATAAATGGAACCTACAATATTGTGCATAACAAGATTTCAGGTATTTTAAGTAGTGGCGTTTTTTAAACGGGTTTTTAATTGTTGTATTTATTGCAAGAGCAATTTTGGTTTACCCAAATTCATTTTTAGATAAGATTAAGAGCCATAGCCATTTTAATCTGTATTTCAAATTCAATCCACATGAAAATGGAGTTTGACCAAATCTTTTTTGAAAATGTTTTAGATAAGTAGACGAAATGATTTTAGTGGAACACAAATTTATAAATTAAAGAAGAGTTTGAGAAACGATTATTTTTAAATAAAATATAAAAATGAACACCTTAAACATACAAGCAAGTTTCATTTGATATATCTGATTGACTTGTTTCTATTTTACAGGACTGACTTTAAATGATTTTGGTATCTCAGTTATTGTATTCAATTAATATAGACAACAATTTTAAAACTATCACTCTTTTCTAAATGAGTTACCCTTTAATTATTACACTAACTCAAATGGATAAGTAGCTGTAAATCAATTATTTCTGTGTAACCCATGCAGGTAGTTTTTGTGAGTTATCAACAGAATGTGATGTTGGTTATTGTCAGATAAACAACACTGCAAATTGTACAAAAGAACTTATCAATGGTGAATATGTCAACCAGTGCAAATGTCTTCCTTTCTATAAAGGTATGTGCAGGTATATTACTATTATCGGTATATATTTTTTTAAATAAAAAAACGGGTAAAACAATTCCTATGTAACATCTAAGAATGATCAGAGGTCCATCCCTGAATAAAAATAATGATATAATAAATAAGTTTTGTCCATTTCAATTCTGTATAAATATGAACAAGAGCAGTAACCTATCGAGCATTTCTCATATTTTTGCATCATTTTAAACATTTTCTCCGCAATGAAGTGTCAGTTCCTCGAATATTGTATATTTCATACAGTGTTAACCCATTACTTCATGAGCAGTTTGTGAAAAATGGCTGTTTTCATTGAAAAGTCTCCCGATACAAGTTCAAACTGCTATAAAACTATAAAAACTACTTAAATACTAATCAAACTTGACACAAATGTTGACTGGACCATTGCCTTTGTAACAACATGCTCAGGTTTAAATTTTCTGTTACCATGGCAACAAGGGGACATCTCAAAATTGCCAAAAATCACTATTTTGCATTGATTTTTTCCATCAAAATTGATTTTAAAGTGCTGCAACTTCTCAATGGATTGAGATAGAGTCAAATACTTTTTAGCGTTGGATACACGTTACCTTATGATCGATCTGGGGTCATTTTTAGCCTCTCACAAAAATTTACTTGGCGATGAGGGGGACTGCCGCCCACCTTCAACCCCCCAACATCCCCCTTCTGGCAACCCCCTGATGTATCTTTTGGATGTGGGGCCGCACCGAAAAAGTGTTCACTCATTTAACAACATTTCTCAAACGAAAAACAGTCTTTTCGGCCTAAATAGGACATTTGTTCACTATTTGAGGCCTAAAAGAGGGGGGTCGAAAGTGCGTTGTTTCGCGCATATATGAGGTAAAGGGTCAAGGGAACCAACTACATGTATTATGTAAAGTATGCCTCACCCAGGACTGTTTTTTTCCGACCTTTACTAATTCTGATATGGACATCTACATAAAAACATAATTCTGTCCCACGGAAATCTCGTTGTTGTATGTAAACCTATACTAAGCTTAACTGCTACTACTCTTAAAGTAGATCGGCCTTTAATCAGCACACTTTCTGTAAGTAATTCAAATACATGTATTGATAAAACAATAAAACAAATGTATCGATTGTATATTCATACAAAACATTTATTTGTGAAACATGTCCATAGGCTCTTAGTGATAAAGTATGAATATTTATGTGATGGAATACAATAGTTTTAAACTCTAGAGATATCTATAGATTATGTAATATTAGATCATGCATCTTACATTTACCAACTATGTCTATAGAGCCCCGTCATGACAAAACCATTATAATGGGTGTGCGACCAGCATGGATCCATACCATTTCTCGTCTTGTTATATGGTTCGTAAGCGAACAGCATGGATCCGGATCAGACTGCGCGGATGCGCAGGCTGGTCTGGATCCATGTTGGTCGCAAACCCATTATGTTGGTTTTGACGCGTCTCATATGTATATTTCGTCCAGCAGGGGTACAATACTAAATATTATCAACATAAATTTCTATGATATGACAGACCTTCCAATATGTGCCAGTTCTCTTTAATAGAAAATGGTTTAAATATTAACCTTTCAGGAGCAAAGTGTGAAATTCACGATCTTTGTAAACGCGAGCCATGTGAGAACAAGGGTATGTGTACGCTAAACTATCCTGAGGAAGGCTATGAATGCGACTGTAAGTTAGTTGGTGACCCGAACAACAACTGTAAACTAAACACATTCGATGAGTGTAGCAGGCAGCCACCATATCCACCAAAAAGTTTCATAACATGTGTGGACCTGATAGGTAAGTTTTCACATCTGTTTTTCGTCTTGTGCACTGTAATTATTGATGTACTGATTTTTAGTACTACTAGTAATTGATCGTTCTGTTAAGATGAATTGTATTAATATTATTATTTTCATGTGTATGCTATCCCTCTTTATGTAATGTACGTTTATATGCTATAGCTCATATTGGCATGTGTGTATGAATTGAATTCTGAAATAAACTTTGAAACTTTAAAATATCTACATTAATGATTAACAAATAGTAAAACCGTTGTGTTGTGTGTGTGAACATTAATATATTGGGGTACACAGGAGAGAATGGTCTATAGCATACTGTGTTTATCTCTCCAGCCAAGGGAACGTAAATTCGAGCCCTAATATGGTTACATGTTTCCTCATGTGACACTATTTAATTAGTGGTCAGTTAGTGACAGGAAACTGATTTTAAGAAAAGTAAAAGTATTTACACTCGTGATAATTTACATGTTACATGCAATTAATGACTGATTTTTAGTATTGATGACAATATTTCTATATTGTGTGAGTAACGTAGTAAAGGTTTTTTGTATTTTGTATATTTTGACATAAAGTGGTAAATTACGTAGATTGAAAAGGACGTTTGCAATGTGCAAATTGCTTTCTTTGTCCACTTGAAAATATTTAACTTTTTAATACATTTTTAAAATTTTCCTAAAAATTAGCATGAATCAGCGGGAATGCAGCTTTAAACTTACTACAAGTAATACTTATCACTGCAACACGTCCGAACGTTTTTGTAAGCACATCCTTAGTTCTTCCTTAATCACAAATTTTCGACTTTTTTGTCATGCTTCGAGGACAGACAATTGACACTACTTTTGATAATTTGATATTATCGGAATGAATTTCTCGTTTGGTTCTCTACAAGTACAAAGAAGACAAATTTTGGTACTGACCTGTATATATGAAATGTTCTGTGTTCTTACTTGCACTATTATTTCAACAGAATCTCGCAGAATGTACTGCAATCCTGGATACTCAGGTTATGCTTGCAGAGATATTGTTGACGTCGGATTATTCTGTGACCGTAATGGTCCCGGGTCCTGTTCAAACGAAGGATATTGTAAGGTATAAGCATAAATATGTATGTACACTTTTATATATAGTAACAAACTAGTTTGGATTTCATAATAAGTTTTAGTCATTTATTTATTTATTGAACGTACTGCAGGTTAGTATGAAAAATTCAATACAATATACATGTATATGTAGAGGATCTCATATATTTCTTTTATTTCTTTTCCATAAAGCCCCTCTGCAATGTGGATATATGTAATGGAACAGACAACTGTAAGTTCACGGCGGACCCTTTCAATACGGATGGGTTTAAAAATAATACAGATTGTATAAGATCATTTGGTGATGGATACACTGACCATGCTTGTAATTCTGAAGAAACTTTGTTTGATGGTTTTGACGCAGTGATAAATGTACAAAAAGACTGTAGTCCATTTTTCAACACTACATGCACCATTGATTTTGGTAACACATATTGCAAACCTGGCTGTGGTACGAAGGAATGTCTTTGGGACGGCTACGACTGCGATAATGACGAGCGACCTGAAAAATCTCTGACTGGTGTAGTAGTTGTTGAACTGAAAGGCGATCTAGAACACCCAATTGAAGAGATACAGAAGAATATATCTTTGATGTTACGGTCAATGGTGAACCTTACAGAAGAAGACAACATAAACAGCACAGAGTAAGTCATCTCATCTCTAAATACTTTATATGTATAATCAGATTATGATTTTACAATTCGATGATTAAAAACTATTACACAGTTATTACAACGTTTCTCTCAATTTTCCAGCACCATCCTGTCACTTAAGATAAAGGAAGGAGAATTTACTAAGATAGAATATGCTGGGAAGTTTCTGGCTGCTGCTGTTGCTAAGCGACCAGGCTGGCTGGATCATGTGAAAATAAAAGATATTTACGGTAAGAATTAGGTCTTACTAAGAAGTACTATGCGTGTGAAACAATACTTATACACAATTCGTCACAAGTTTTTATGAATTTGTGACGAATGTGATACAATGCTTAAACAATACATAAACGTCAATATGAAACACATTATAGAAAGAGTACATGTCTGTATAAAGTTGGTAAACTTTACATATGTTTATATATATATATATATATATATATATATATATATATATATATATATATATATATATATATATATATATATATATATATATATATATATATATATATATATGGATCAAATCTGTGGTGTTAGTGTATGTGAGATATTATTTGGGTATTGTATGAAAAGAAAACATGATGAGAACTGAAAATATAAATTAAGATGCTGTTTTATTGTTTTTAAAGGCTTTGTAAACTATTTGATCGAGGGAGAAAAACATAACAGCCGCATATACAAGTAGTCCCTAACCAGTAGTTATTGGCAGTTTAACACCGGTTTTTTCTACTTTGGAGTGTTAGAATATATAATCTACATAGACGGTTAGTGTCAATTTATGAAGACATTTTCGTTTATTTTCGTACATGTTATATGACCGTGTTGTTGTAAAGTTGGTCCTTGCCTAGCGGACCAGGTTATATAAATTTTCAACAGTTTAAATTGAGCCATATAAACTGTCTGACATTTTTTAGAATACTGATGTAATATGTAAATGTAGTTCTGATTTTAACTCATACTTTATCGTTCAAGTGTGTCCGGCTGGGATGTATGGGGAAAAATGCAAAAACAACTGTAGCACTTGCCAAAAAACTGAAGAAATTTGTAAATGGCAAGATGGAGAGTGCTTATATGGTTGCCCGAAAGCCCATCGAGGACAATTTTGCGAGCCATGTGATATGTGCAAAGATGAAGGTGAAGTTTGTGACCCGATGACTGGAGAGTGTTTGCATGGCTGCAACCGCGGATACTGGGGCAATAACTGCTCGCCTTGTAGGATGTCTTGTAAGCAAGAAGGAGATGTTTGTAACAACGCTACAGGAGAATGTCTTCATGGATGTATCAGTAATGAGTTTTATACTTCATGGTGTAAAAAGTGCCCTCAAAATTGTACCGGAGGCTGCGATGATAAAGGTATGGGCATCACACTTGTCTAAATTTTACCTCCATTGTCTCTCTGTTGATTAGAAATATGCTACACTTATCCTAACATATAAAGATGATGAAATAACTTACAAAAGCTCACCTCGAAATCCGTGTGCAGTTTTTATGGCGGTTTACATTTTGATTCTTTCACTTTATACCAGTGACATTATTTCTTTTCCATTTCAGGACACTGCAACGCTTGTTCAGTTGGAACATATGGTGAAACGTGCAGTAATTCGTGTGATAAATATTGTCAAAATGAAACATGCGACCGTGTTACGGGTCTTTGTGACTGTCGATCAAATTACTTTTGGTCTTTAACGGATAAAATGTGTAACCGGTGTGGTGAAGGCTGCAGAGACATATGTGATGGAACTTCAGGTAACTGCCGATGTAAAGATGGTTACTAGGGAAAAAAATGTAATTTTATATGAAATAAAAACCCTGGAAGATAAATTTATGTCATGTAAAACCCCCGGGGAAAAAATTTTTTTTATAAAGGGGAAATGAAAACCCCAGGCCAATACGGCCCCCACTTTTTGCAAGAATTGTAAATTTGGGTTTGCAGCGCATCCCGCGAGGAATGATGGTATTTGTGAGGGAAATTGCAAACCTGGATATGAAGGATCAGCATGTGAAAGTAAGCAAATGAAATAGCTCCTTTACTTTGAAATCAGAGTCAAACAATTAAGTATACCAAATTCTGCTCATTGTAATATCAGTTGAAAGTTAACAAAATTGCATCAATATGCTGATTGTTTTATTCCTGACTAAAAATTATGATCTAGCATGGAGATAATCTTGAAAAGTTCTTGTGTTTATTTTACTATGGTGCGACATATACACCCCTTTATTGATTTTTGTATAAAAATTCCAATGTACATAGGTTTCATGTAGATCTACATAAATTCAAAGATATCTAAGTTTACATAATGGATTCGTTGAATCTCTTCTTGACAACAATGTAAATAAGACTTGTTGCTTGTGTTTAATTTTAAGATAACATTTGCAGAAAGTTCCCACACTGGTGACACCGATGAAACAACAGACAACACAGGCATTATTATAGGTGTAATCATCTCATTGTTGCTTATTATTCTTATAATAGCCGTGGCTTGTTGTTACTGGTGAGTATACCAGCACTTGTCTCTTCTAACTGTCATACTTTGTCGTTATTTGTTAATATTGAGAGCTATTGGCGAGCATAAACGTAGTTTGTTGTTATTTTAAGATTATGAACGTAGTTTGTTGTTTCTGAAAGATTATGAACGTAGTTTGTTGTTATTATTGGAAGATTACGAACGTAGTTTGTTGTTACTACTATGTTATATGAACGTAAATGTTATTGATTTTTACTAGAAGATTATGAAATTTTGTTTTAGTTAGAAGATTATGAATGTAGTAGTTGTTTTTTTTAACAAAATTATGGATGTAGTTTGTTGTTAATACAAGATCATTAACGTAGTTTGCTGTTATACCAATATTAGAATGCAATTTGTTGTTAGTACAAGATTATGAACGTAGTTTGTTGTTTTTTCAAGATTATGAACGTAGTTCCTTGTAATCACAAGATTATTAAAGTAGTTTGTTGTTATTACAAGAGTATGTACGTACTTTGTTGTTATTGCAAGATTATGTTAGAAGTTTGTTGTTATTACAAGATTGAAATATTACAATATTATGAAAGTAGTTTGTTCTTTTTACAATATTATTATGAACGTAGTTTGTGTTAATTACAAGATCATGAACGTAGTTTGTTGTTATTACAAGGTTATGAACGTTATTTGTTGTTATAACAAGATCATAAAAGTAAATTATGAACGTAGTTTGTTTTAATAACAAGATCATGAACGTTGTTTGTTTTTATTACAAGACCATGAACGTTGTTGTTTTTATTACAAGATCTTGAACGTTGTTGTTTTTTTAGAAGATTATGAAAATAGTCAGTTGTTATTACAAGATCGTGAACATAGTTTGTTGCCTTTACAAGATCATGAACGTAGTTTGTTGTTATTACAAGAATATGAAACTATTTTTTTACAAGATGATGAACGTAGTTTTTTGTTATTACAAGATTACGAACGTAGTTTGTTGTTATTTCAAGATTATGGACGTAGTTTGTTGTTATTTCAAGATTATGAACGTGGTTTGTTTTTATTACAAGATCACGAACGTTGTTTGTTGTTATTACAAGATCATGAACGTTGTTTGTTGTTATTACAAGGTTATGAACGTATTTTTTGTTTTTACAAGATTATGGACGTAGTTTGTTGTTATTACAAGATTATGGACGTTTTGTTGTTATTTCAAGATCATGAACGTATTTTGTTGTTATTACAAGATTATGTACGTAGTTTGTTGTAATTACAAGATTATGAATGAAGATTGTTGTAATTACAAGATAGTAAACGTAATTTGTTGTTATTACAAGATTATGAACGTAATTTGTTGTAATTTATTATGGATGTAGTTTGTTGTGTCGGGTGTACATGTATATTAAGTGATTGTCTTTGTGTTGGGTGCATATTAAAGTGATGATTTTTTTATGCAATATGTTTATTTTTTACGCGTCACAAAAAAATAAAGTGTTCTTTTAAAAGGGGGACATACAGGAAAAAGGGCATGATACATTTTTCAAAACCCGTAAGGGCTTAAATTTTTTTGAAAAATTTTCAAAAAAATTTTTCATGAGCCACCATATTAATAATACGATCTATTCTCTTTAATGTAAATACCATTAAGGTATATAAACCGATAGTTATAAATATATCGTCAGTAACTGACAACACAAGATGAGTTTTATAATTTTACAGGAAGAAGCGTCAGTCTGGAGATTACGTCATGGAGGACGAGGAGATGGAAGATCCTACACAAAAAGACCCAAACACCCTATCTGTCCATACAAATTCACACATGCAACCGTCTTCACCTTTGCTCGGCCATTCAATGGGTAAGCATTCCAATTGAGCCTGATCGAACTTTAAGTTCCAAAAACGGTGCATTCACTCGCTTGAAAAGTTAATGTTATGTATATTCCGTGTTCTTAGTGACGACACAAAAATTCCCATCAACGGCATGGGTAGTCAACATAATGAATTCTCTGCCTTTTATTGAAGGGACGTTGGTTCCATTTCTATTTAAGCCTAAACCATGTTGCCACAAACCCGGGAAAATGTTAGTTTAAGGAAACCCCCTGGGGAAATTTGTTTTAAAGCCATTTAAAATTTTTTTTAAAACGAACCCAAAAATTTATATTTTACCCTTTAAATGGGAACTTATAGTTTAAATTCTTCAAAAATAAGAAAACACGTAAAAATTTCATGAGGGAAAATTCTTTAGGGTGACTAGGGAAAAAAAAATTTTTGCAAAATTTTAATTTTATATAAAAAATTTTAACCCTTTTTTTTGGGAAAAGTATCTGCAGGTTTCCTATGAACTTAATTTCCATTTAAAAATATAGTAAAAGTATAGATGAAATTCGACATAAAATTCTATAACGCTCCTGTATTTAGCGAATTATATACATTTACATAGATATGATAGAACTCGACGAGAAGCAAAATTTTGCTGTGTACGCTGGTCCTGGACGCGGACAGACAGAAGAAAACACGCCAAATGGTATGTATTCCTTAGCAATCATAGCTTGAAATATCATTCATTTGGTCAGTACAATAAAGCAATATCAATTTATATTTCATACAGTTGTAATAATTACTTAACCATGTAAGTAAGTTTAGCATTACCAGGAAGAATTATGTGAACTTACAATCGTATAATAAAGTTCCTTATATCATTGTCTCTAGGGAGTTACGTTTGAATATTTTGTACACAATTTGCTCTTATTCTCAAGTTTTTGTTTGCTTAACAATGGTGGCAACGTATACAACAAGACCGAGCTGTTTTTTTCCTCTTTTTGAGAATAACTTTAAAACAGGTCATATCAATTTATTGAATGAGCGATTTACACTCAACAACTTACAAAATGCACCAGTCATATTTTATTTTTTTATCATTTAATGTGAGTAGTAATTTGCATTAAAGTTGGAGAAGATATTTATTAATTTCAAAGACAACAGGAATTTTATTTTAATATTTAAATAATCATTAACGTATTTTATCAAACAAAGACCCTGGGTGGAAACATATAAGCTGCAAGGTAATTATGCAATATAATGTTAATTGAATGAAATTCCTGACGATGTTTGTGGCTTTTATTGTATTTTATTCGAAGTTGTTATTTAACGTATATATAAACGTTGAAATTTCTTCAACTGAATCGATACATTTAATACAATAAAGTTCGGTAATGAATACATGTTTGTAAATGTATATTTTCCGTTGTTTATCACTTAAAGTTGTATCTCAATGTCGTTAACTAACATTCGAGCGAAAAGAAAAGAAATGAACTCATATTACTTAAATACTCATGATTAATTTTACTCCTGAGACATATCGTAAAAACACAATAATAGGAAACAAGATATTTTATTGATCGAAAATTAATGGGAAGACTGGAATTAAAATAGATAATTTCATATTATTGTTTTAAAAAAAGGCAATGGGCTGGACCAGAATAATCCTGAGAATAATGGTGCCAATGAAGCAGACGACCGTGAGAACGATACAGAAGACGGTAAAGTAGATGACACTGCTGGCAAAAAAGAACGATGTACTTCATCTGTAGTGATGGAGATTGGGAAAGGTGGCAGGGTGTTGTCCGTATCAGACGGTGATGAAGCGCAATCGCCAACATTTACTAAAGAAGGTAAAATAACTGTTTCATTTTGTAACTACTTGTACTACCCGGATTCAAATGTTCTATTTTATGTTATCACTAGAAATGCTTATATTTTGTTATCTTTGTATTTGATCATAAAGAAGTAAGAAGCAATGGCATCACTGCAATAAGTTTAAATGCAGTCAGACTCGATTTGCCAAAGTCTGTACTGGTAAATGCAACACTACCCTCGCACCATAGCACAACTAACAAAACTTGAAATATTTTCAATTCATTCATATATTGGCAAAACGGCATTTCAGATGCCTTTGACCATTTACACATACTTAATATGGTCAAGATATACAGTTTATATAAATAATACACAACTCCACATTTAATTCTTTGAATAATAAATAATCACAAAACATCAATCACCAAGAAAATTTAAACTCATAAAGAAAAAGAACTCTAAGAAGCAGTAATATTTTCAAGGGTTAATTTATAAACTTTGGTTATAAACTTGGAGAGTCAAAATTTAACCATATATCACTGGAACCTAAACTATCAAGTAACGTTTTAACTTTATTTGACCAAGAATTTGTGTTCTAAAAATTACATAGCTCCCTAAATTTTTATACATAGGCGTGTATTGATTACTTATTATTTATCCAGTATTTCAAGTCTCTCTCTTTCGTTAAAACTGACAAAGGAAAACTGCCCAATTCACCTAATACATCTTCGAACTACAGGAATATGTTTACAAAATTTTAGATGTAGTTTATCTATTTCCTTAATATCATAAACGCCCCCAAATTTCTGAAACGTACAATAAAGTAGGTAGAACCATAGAATCAAAAAGTGAAAGTTTAATTACTCGACTAAATAATGACAAGAGACTATTATATGCTTTGAGAGCTTGGCTGGAGAGCACTATAACAGCATTGTTCACATTTCCATAAAAATAAAATTAACGCCTAAATAACAAAAAATATGTACAATTTTTTACTACTCACAATTAATAGACCATTTAAAAGAATTAAATTATATTCTCTTTTCGAAAATACATACTTTGAATTTTTTATGTAAATATTTAGCCCCATTTAATTGAGCATTGATATTATACAATCAAGTTGGACTTGCAAGCTGTGTCTGTATTTTGTCATAAATAAAACAATGTCATCCGAAAATATAAATATATACATTGATACCTGGTTCAATCTATCTGATAAATAATTTAATGAATTACAGACGGGGCAGCTTTGAAAGCTTTTGTTTCACAATAAAAATTTTTTTAGCATGTTCACAGAAAAAATCAAACCAATTTTCTTCAAGTTTATAATTCAATAAATGTTTATTATTATCTTCTCGTATATGTTTATCATAAGTGAGGACATCAGATTGATACATTGTACAAAAACAATCTAATCCAAATTAAATCGGACAATGATCTGAAAATTAACTTGTGGTTAACAAATAATCAACAACACTAACATAATATGGTGAATGTTTTGGTACACTTTGCGCGTTGCGTTGTCGATATCGTTATCGCCTTTTCGTCCTGTTTCTAGCGAAGCACGCCAAAAGTGTGTTCTCGTGCGGTCCGTTGTCGCGATGTCGCCCTGTCGCTTGGCTTATAAGACGGTCCTTCGATTTGAACCGAGCGGCAATGTGACATCGCGACAACACGCTGCACGACAACGAGCCATTTGGCGTACATCGGACGACAAGAAGAAAGTCTGACAACGCACCGTTTGGCGCGTTGTCCTGTTTTCGCTAGCGCCAACACGAGACACAAAAGCGTTCCAATTCAGCCATCAAAGATTTGAGTCGAGCGACATCGCAACTCACGCTGCACGACAACGCGCCGTTTGGCGTGCTTCATAAGCGACAAGGAGACAGTGCGACAATGCGCCGTTTGGCGCTTTGTCGTACTGTCGCTGGCGAAAACACGACTCACAAAAGTGTACCAAATCAGCCACCATACAAGAAGCCCTACGGCTACGATTTAAACTGTATTATGTAAACACTGTTTACGATCATTTACCATTTACAATAAACTTTCTATTTCCTTATATAAAGATAGCAATTTTAATCCAAAACCATTTACATGAATATCACGAAAACTCAAGTAACTAAATCAAAACAATAGCATTATGATCAATGTTTCTTGTAATACATGTATATTGATTTTTTATAGATAATAACAACTCAGCTATAATGCTTAGCTTTCTTATTAAACTTTTACATGGGACAAGAAAATGAACAAAAACCCTGGATATCAACATTTGAAATTTTTGAATTCCATGCTTTGGTAAAAAGCAAAACGTCAAACTCGTTAATATAATTCAGAAAAACACTGACCAAGCCCTTGTATGTTCCATATGAGGAATATAACTGCTCCTTGATGACTTCGAACATCCTCCGTTGCTCCTCGGTACAAAGCCCCGTTTATGTAAAGTTTATCAAATCGTTATACAGCATCCGTGTGCCTCTCTGGCTTTTAATAGAAGCGGGTTTTTTCTGCGCTTCTTTTTATATCTATCATTTCTTTTTTGTTATAAAATATCTGTTTGATTCCCAATTTGTCCAGGGAGTGATTGAATCTATATGCAATTGGTCTTTTTTTAATTGATGTCAATTTACCATCTCCATGTGCCTTGTTAATTCCACAGTGCTCAAATCCTTCTCACAAAAAGTGTACATGGTATTAAATCTTTAGGATTTTAGATATTGGCACCAACGGTATTTATGTTCCAGAACAATGTATATCACTTAGACAAAACCGGTTAAGAGTATGTGAAATATAGCATAATAAATTACCTTTCTTTTACTAAAGTGTAGACTTAAAAGCAAACAATGGTAAGGATTAAGTTCACGAATCCTCCGACTTTTCCTTTGTGTCCTGAGTCTGCCACAAACTCCACTTTTCGCAAAATAAAAAGGCAATAGATGTTCAAGCAGTGATATACTGATAATTTGTTTTTATTGTAGTTTGTCTTAAAGTAAAATATTGTTAATATAAATAATAAGAATAAAATTGTGAATGCATAAGAATATGTGGATAAACATCAAATAAAATACAATTCCAATTGTGTTACAATGGTGTAATTCTAGTCTGTGTTAAACTAATTGAAATCTAACTGGGATAATATTTAATTGAAAAAAATTCATTTGCAATGTATAAATGCTATCTATGTCATGCCACCAAACACATGGTACCACAATTGAAATAAGAATCTCTCTTTTTTGTGCTACCGTTGGTACTGGTGTACATGTCATGGCGTATTTATTCTCATGTATGTTTTAAATGTTTGTACCGTACATGTTGTTTTAAATGTCCATTTTATATCTATATTCCGAATTTTTTCTAACCTACATGAGTTCATTTATTTCACATACCTAATGTCAAATGATACTGATGTTTCTCAGCGACAACCAAGATGACAGATATACTACATGTAGTAATATTTCTGATTGTACTTTTCCTATGCTGACCAATTACTTCTTTTGTCCGAACATGGGTACAGTTATTTACTCAATTATATCAATCTTATAGTAAATGTAGCTATTGGAGAAGAAAATGAAACCCACGATGACGACAGCGCATTTGCTGACCCGCCACATAGTCCACTAGGAGCCGTTCGAGCTCCATTAGCTTCCGAGGAGAATATTCTGGCTAGTCTAGGTCCTAAAGAGGTATGAATGATTGTACTTTCCCATAAAAAGACACTCAATTTTAACCCTATTATAAATTGGGGTGCTTTAATAAAAGTACACTTGCTTGATCTTTGCAATGGCCAAAAAATGTTAAGTATTAGACAAGTTATAACCAGATATAAGTTAGACTTAAGAGGTATATCAATTAACAAGTTCATGGAATTATGAGATAAATATGTATTAACTTCATCGACAAAACTATCTATTTAGATGGAAGATGATCCGGCGGACAGACCTGGTGGATTTGATGACGAAGGAAAAGACAGAGAATCAAACAGGTCAAGGTCAAGTAGCTCATCCAGCTCCAAATCAAAATCCAGCAAGTCAAGTAATGAAGAAGTGACGGAAATGTGACCATATCATGTAGAACAATAGTAAAATAACCTGAATATATAGACCATCTATGACAATAATACATTATCATATATGCCAGTACAATTGTAGTACGGTGATTATTACATTTAAACATTGAAATGTTTTAATAGCAATGTCAATAGTAAAGTGAACCAACAATAAAGTGATATTAACGCGTAAACTAATGGTAAAATAATATTCAGACATGACTCTAAGATTGTACATTAATAGGAAACAAATCAGTATGAACGTTTTTCACGAATATATCTATAAAAAGTGACATTTAAACGTTAGCCATTAGGAAAGTGCCATTTTCTTGCAGTCTATAGGAAAGTAATATTTACGTGTCAGTCTTTAGGAAAGTAACATTTACGTGTCAGTCTAATAGGAAAGTAACATTCACGTATAAGTCAATAGGAAAATGACATTCATGCACGTGTAAGTCAATAGGAAAGTGACATTCATGCACGTGTAAGTCAATAGGAAAGTGACATTCATGCGCTAGGAAGTTAATAAGAAAGTGATATTCATGCGCGTGGAAGTCAACAGGAAAGTGACATTCACGCATCATTCAATAGAAAAATGACATTCACGAGTCAGTCAATAAGAAAGTGATATGCACGTGTAGATTATTAATTAATTAACATTCTGGTAAAAAATTGGTAAATGATATATAAAAATAAGGATATATTGTAGGAGACATTGCATTAGATATGAAACTTTTGGATGATACTACGTGTAAAAATTGTATATGTAAATATATTACAATGTATTTTGATAATTGCATATAATGTTCCGTTTTGTCTAACTAAAATTCATCAATATAATGTATAACTCAGTAACCTTTGATTTTTAGGGACAATACAGGAATGTTTATCTCAACATTCTTTTGCATGTATCTACACAGGCATACTGTACATGTCTTTTCTACTAATTTCAAAAGTGGACATTTCACTGTAATGTTCACTTTTGCGTCATTTGTTTAATGTCTGAAATTAAATTTTTTTTTTAAATAAATGATTTAATGGTGAACAAAATATTTTGAAACCACTTGTTTATATAAATTCTGATATCAAGTTATCTCCATATCGCTATACATGTATATACAAGTAGTAAGCCCTGTATCATATTAACATATCTTTTATATCTTCTAAAATCATAGAATTCATATTTATATAAAATATAATATTTTTGCATTATACATCGAAAGTTAAAAAAATTTATTATTATTGTATTATTCACCATTGCTATTTTATGTTTTATGTGCTAACCTGTACACACGTGCTAATCTGTACATCCTTGCTAACCTCTACACTGGTGCTTACCTGTACATTCGTGCTAGCCTGTACATGCGTGCTAGCTTGTACATCCATGCTAGCCTGTACATGCGTGCTAGCTTGTACATTCGTGCTAGCCTGTACATATGTGCTGGCCTGTACATCCGTGCTAGCTTGTACATTCGTGCTAGCCTGAACATCCGTGCTAGCCTGTATATTCGTGCTAGCCTGTACATATGTGCTAGCCTGTACATATGTGCTAGCCTGTACATTCGTGCTAGCCTGTACATCCGTGCTAGGCTGTACATACGTGCAAGCCTGTACATTCGTGCTAGCCTGAACATGTGTGCAAGCCTCTACATTCGTGCTGGACTGAACACACGTGCTAGCAGTACATAAGTGCTAGCCTGTACATACGTGCTAGCCTGTACATACGTGCTAACCTGAACATACGTGCTGGCCTGTACATCCGTGCTAGCCTGTACATATGTGCTGGCCTGTACATCCGTGCTAGCCTGTACATATGTGCTGGCCTGTACATCCGTGCTAGCCTGTACATACGTACTAACCTGTACATCCGTGCTAGCCTGTACATACGTGCTAACCTGTACATCCGTACAAGCCTGTACATATGTGCAAGCCTGTACATACGTGCTAGTCTGTACATCCATAATAATAATAATAAAAATGATAATAATCATCATCATCATCACATCATCATCATAGCAATAATGTATTGTACATAGCAACTTCATGCGTTGTAGGATAAACGAATGACTGAAATATTATGATAAAAGAGTATATACATTTTTTGTACATATAATATTGTTCGTACTTTTTTCTTTTGATAGTGATACTTTGTCATAAAAACTCTGCCAGAGTTTTCATGGAAACAAAATGTATTCTTCAATAAAAATCAATATTGCTATTTGGGTATGATTGTTTTATTATGATAAATTTTATTATGATATAAAGATACCATTTTATAGCTTATATTTTGTAACTTGTTAATAGCATATACCTGCAGTGGCGAGCATAAGTAAGTTACTTCACTGTTGTATCTTGCTGTACAATTTTTAACTTTAACAACATGCCTTTTCTTAAATTAGTTTGTTAAAGGAACTCCACTGAGGTCTAAATGCCAGAAAAATTAAATTTCAAAATCTTGCAAAAATCAAGCGAAGCACTTAAAATGGAAAAAATCTGCAAAGGATAACAAAAAATATACCCAGAATTAAATTGAAAATTGGGGTTTTGTCCGATTCATAGTCGGATTTGAGTGAAAAACGTTGCAATGCTTTTCATGTTTGGGTCTTTTTGCAAAGTAAAATAATGATTATTCTAGAAAAACGAGGTATAGAAACGACCTGAACATTTGCACACAAGTTATGGTCCAGATCACATTAATTGGTACTCAATATCTGCAAATTATTTACAGTCCCGTCATGTCAAAAAACCTCAGTGAAGTCCCTTTAAAGACAATGAATTATTCAATGAATGTATTGTTTTTTTTATAATTTTGTTCTCACTTTTATTCAAACTTTCTATTACTATGAAGTTACATTCTGATAAATGAGAAGTATGTTTTGTAAGAATGTAAAATGCCTTACGGGATTCGAACCCCAAATTGGTGAGTCCAAAACTTATATTGATGCTTAGGACCTATATAAGAAATGTAGATTTATTGTTTGAGTCATTATTTGCACAAATAAACATTTTAACGAATGTACATATATACTGTCTTTTTCGCTTTGATTTTAAAACTAGCCACATTTGTTATTTTGTTCAGTTGACAGTTGTTGAAATTTTGCTAAATGATAGTCATGTTTGTGTGTGTGTGTGTGTGTATGAATATTGTCTTAAATACTGCATGTACTGGAGCTTTAAACTATTTTCCGGATTAAATTTGTGAAAACATTGATATTGTTATGTTTTGAACATATACGATTTCTTGTTATAATTATGGGAAAACTAATTCTGAAAAAGAAAACAACAACAACTAAGTATGGAATTATCAAGTTCGTACATGTAGATTTGTTGCACATATTCGAAATATTTTTAGAATTTGCAGATAACACACAAATCATGATGTAATTAATTGAGGCATATAACCTCAAAATTAAGTAACGTTATGTCTAATTCATCCACGAAAAATTTGATTGAACCAAGGGCTTGATAGAGATTGGACTTTCCATTATTTGGTACGAACAGACCATAAAACCGAGTCAGCGAGTTTTAACTATAACTTCCGAGTGCTCGCCTCTTTCCAATTTTTTTTTGGGTTGCATTAATTTTTGGGTTGCATTAAATATATTACATTTCGTCAACCTATCTATATATTCGAAAACCGGACAAAAACCTCACTGTATTCTCATTATATATTATGATGTAACATAAGTGTTATTATTATTATCAAATGTGATTTGCCCTCGCCTATATGCCTTATAAAGGAATAAGACAGATGTTTGAAAGACCCTGGGTACAGTAAGGTGTCACTCGGAGTCTTTGATATATTTAATTAAGTTTAGGACTTGCTTTGGCCTGTCTTCTGCAACAGTACAACCGTACTCCCTGTAATGACATCTATTTGTTTTAGCTATCACGCAGTTTGACAATCAGACAGTAAAAGTGACCTTTGTATAATACTTGTCAAAAATGACTTATTATCAACAAAAACCAGTCCCATAACACGTGTTCGAGTACTCTTAGTTTCCCAAATTTAAGGTATTATGATTTTAATGAAAATACAAACATGTACATCTAATTAGGGATACGGACAAAAGCCCCCCCGGACGAAAGCCCCCCCATCTAAAAATGACAAAGTGGACAAAAGCCCCCCCATGAAATTTTCACATAGGACAAAAGCCCCCCCCCCCATAAAAAAGTAAAGGTAGGACAAAAGCCCCCCCCCCATAGTCAATCAAATTTAATATAGTGTATTAAAGTTGTGTTTTTTATGTGTTTAAAAGATATGTATGGACATCACATGTAGGTGACATAGTGCTTAGGATATTAATTTGATCCCTTTACAAATGTGATTAAACATTACTACTCTTCTGACCCTTGTTGTGTATAGGAAAAGCTATGAATTCGGTATCGCATGCATACATTACTTAATGTTTTATCATAAACTTTGTTATCACTTCAATATATACATTATAAATAAACATTTAAACAAATTCTTTTCATTTTTATTTAAAAGTTTGTGTGAAATTTGATGAATTTGAGCACCTGTACGAGTGAAAAAAGATGGGGGGGGGGGCTTTTGTCCTACCTGTATTTTTGATGGGGGGGCTTTTGTCCTATGTGAAAATTTCATGGGGGCTTTTGTCCACCTTGTCATTTTTAGATGGGGGGCTTTCGTCCGGGGGGGCTTTTACTCTACTGCCATGTATCAAAACAATTGTCGCGGTAACTGTCGTGTACCGTATCAAGGGTCGCGATTTACGGTCGTGTATTCGTGTAACCTATCAATCGTCGCGGCTTACTGGCATGTATCATATCAATCGTCGCGGCTTACAGCCATGTATCATATCAATCGTCGAGGCTAACTGTCGTGTATCATATCAATCGTTGAGGCTAACTGTCGTGTATCGTACCATTCGTCTAGGCTGACTGTCGTGTATCGTATCAATCGTCGCGACTTACTGCCGTGTATCGTATCAAGCGTTGCGGTTTACTTTCTTGTATCATATCAATCATCGAGGCTAACTGTCGTGTATCATATCAATCATCGAGGCTAACTGTCGTGTATCATATCAATCATCGAGGCTAACTGTCGTGTATCATATCAATCATCGCGGCTAACTGTCGTGTATCATATCAATCGTCGAGGCTAACTGTCGTTTATCATATCAATCGTCGAGGCTAACTGTAGTGTATCGTATCAATCATCGAGGCTAACTGTCGTGTATCATATCAATCGTCGAGGCTAACTGTCGTGTATCATATCAATCGTCGAGGCTAACTGTCGTGTATCATATCAATCATCGAGGCTAACTGTCGTGTATCATATCAATCGTCGAGGCTAACTGTCGTGTATCATATCAATCATCGAGGCTAACTGTCGTGTATCGTATCAATCATCGAGGCTAACTGTCGTGTATCACATCAATCATCGAGGCTAACTGTCGTGTATCATATCAATTGTCGAGGCTAACTGTCGTTTATCATATCAATCGTCGAGTCTACCTGTCGTGTATCGTATCAATCGTCGAGGCTTACAGTCATGTATCGTATCAATCGTCGAGGCTAACTGTCGTGTATCGTATCAATCGTCGAGGCTAACTGTCGTGTATCATATCAATCATCGAGGCTAACTGTCGTGTATCATATCAATCGTCGAGGCTAACTGTCGTTTATCATATCAATCGTCGAGGCTAACTGTAGTGTATCGTATCAATCATCGAGGCTAACTGTCGTGTATCATATCAATCATCGAGGCTAACTGTCGTGTATCATATTAATCGTCGAGGCTAACTGTCGTTTATCATATCAATCATCGAGGCTAACTGTCGTGTATCATATCAATCGTCGAGGCTAACTGTCGTGTATCATATCAATCATCGAGGCTAACTGTCGTGTATCGTATCAATCATCGAGGCTAACTGTCGTGTATCATATCAATCATCGAGGCTAACTGTCGTGTATCATATCAATTGTCGAGGCTAACTGTCGTTTATCATATCAATCGTCGAGTCTAACTGTCGTGTATCGTATCAATCGTCGAGGCTTACAGTCATGTATCGTATCAATCGTCGAGGCTAACTGTCGTGTATCGTATCAATCGTCGAGGCTAACTGTCGTGTATCGTATCAATCGTCGAGGCTAACTGTCGTGTATCGTATCAATCGTCGAGGCTATCTGTCATGTATCTAACAAGCGTCGAGGCTAACTGTCACTTTTCGTATCTAGCGTCGTGATAATTGTTGCTTATATTGAATCAATCGTCACAGATTTCTGTTATGTATCGTATCAAACGTAACGGCGTATTGTCATGTATTATATCAAGCGGCAATGATTATTATTATGTGTCGTATCAAGCGCCATGAAATTTGTTCTTCATCGTATCAAGCCACACGGCTTAGTGTCATCCATGAGTCGCATGTGCCGTCATCAAAACACGACACAAATGACACTTAAATTACAGACCCTAATGGGCATCATTAGGCAGTAGCTTTGTACTATTTTTAAGATGGTATGAGACATTTTTTCCAGTATTAACAAATTTAATCATCCAATTTATTATCATTATTATTTCTTTAGTGCCACATTTTTATCCAAATTTTGATTTAGAGGAATTGTTTTTAGATATGAAATAAGTTTTATTTTATTTCCATTAGAGTTTTTAATCATTAAGATAGCCCTTATCGGATTCCGTACATCAGCATTACTGATTGTATATCTGAATTACAATATTTACGAGCCATTTTTTGGGGTTGAGAGATAATAATATGCACGTGTTTGAAATTTTTACTGGGATGGGCTTATTCTAATGTTGTAAGAACTTGTTGCCCAACCCATGCCTTTTGATATATACTCATAATTTGTATAATATGTTTGAAAACATGTATTTGATTCAATACAATATGTTTAAACTAATAATATGCACGAGTTTGAACTTTGCATAATATTTTGATCTCTTACATATGGCGCGCAAACAATTTTACACACAGCTTACCTCGTGCTTATTGAGTACATGTATCACTATTTTGCGGAAAATACATGCTTCAATAATTGACTTACTTAATAATTGAGTATGATTAATGCCTGAAATGTTTCTACAGCAACCATGGTGTACCTGGAAATAATTAAACGATCAATTTGAATCCATCAAAATTTCAGAAAATCTTTACATATCGTAAATACTCTACTTTTACTGGTTTAACTAATAACTTTCTACGGCCTTATTTTAGTGCTGTCTTGAAGCAAGATTCCGTTGAATACCTGAAATATTTTAACTTTCACAGTAAACAGTCAAAAGAAGTAGATTATAATAATAGGTGGAAACAAGAATCTTGAAGATTCCGACTATTGTCTGAAATGATGCTTCAGTATTTCTCCAGTCTTTATTTCTAAAATGAAAGCTAAAATGTCGTATGCCCGAAAACGGATCATAAAATTGTGGGTTTGCCAAATATTGTTACTGAGTGTCCTTATAGCACAAAATATATAATATCAAACATATTTTCTTCTCTTTCCCCCCACTCTTCATTGATTTAAAATGTTCAAATTTTTGCGCTGTAATAAACCGTTCTGTAGGATACCTATATACAGTTTATGAATTTCACATCACGGTAAATGAGTAAATAAGAAAACTCAGACTTGGATTACACTCGTTTTTTAAAAGTTAAAAATATTTGTTTTTAAAGAAAATTCATTTCATCTATGACACAACATCTTTAAACAGTCAACAACCTATAGCCAGGTTCACGTACTTTTACTATGTTGTCGCTCAATTTGACTGCAAAGTTTATCGCTTTGGAAATTTAATCTTAACCTTACATTGGTTGTGAAATAATGGAGATTACGTGTCATTATATTATTTATGTTCATTTCAAAGAATGAAAAATATTGACGAAATTTACGAGTCATAAACAGATGCAGATCAAACGTTTCTGTAATAACTAGCTCGACTCGGATCGTTTGATGCACAGAAAATTCGCACGTTCATTACTTACGTTTGGGTATGAACCGATCTACTACTGCATTAGATATATGTGTTAATATAGAGCGAAATACATCAAGTAGAACATATCTGTACCGACATATACTATCACTGAGTATATAACTAAGAGAGCAGTGGATTTATGAACACTGGAAAAAAGAAACCCGAAACAAAGCTGCGTCATGCTGAATGGTGAAAAAATGAAACAGAGAGGAGCCAACTCGGGTAACTCTCGCCGAGACAGTAACGGCATTGCTGGCATTATCAGTGACGGCAGTGGTGACTATAGTGACCAGAGGAAACAACAAGATGGTGGTAAAAGAAGTCGAGCAGGAATTAGTGCACCGTTTAGTGTGATCAACAATATAATACTGCCACTACTCATCGTGACGCTGCTACCAACTGGTATCATGATGATAGTTTACTCAAGTACTGACTGTGATGGAAGTTTGTCAACTATGATATCTCGCATTCAGAACAAAACTTTATATGATATCTATATGGAGCTATGGGGCAATTATCTAAGTGGAATTAGTTTTTTCACGTTCGCAGTTGTATTTGGATATTACATATGGGCTATATTATGCACTAGGATGATACCAGGAAAAATCGTGAAAGGACCATTGACGCCAATGGGAAATATTCCTGAATATGTAGATAACGGGTTAAGTTGTTACATTATAACAATGGCGGGGCTTATCATACTGACCGTTATTCTAAAACTCAACAACCTTACCCCTACCATTGTTATTGACCAGTTCGGAGAACTTGCAGCTTTCATGCATATATATTCGTTCATCGTCGTGTTTTTCTTGTATATCAAGGGAATATATTCCCCATCGAGTTCTGATAGTGGGAAGACAGGGAAAGGCTTTATGTTCGATTATTACTGGGGTACGGAACTTTATCCTCGTGTGTACGGAGTGGATATCAAGGTACTGACAAACTGCCGTTTTGCTTTGACTGTCTGGCCAATACTTGTATATTTGTGTGCAATAAAAAGCTACGAGCTTCATGGTTTCGTTGACAGTATGATGATTACAACAGTTCTACAACTTTTTTACATCACTAAATTTTTCTATTGGGAAGCGGGATATTACGGTACCATGGATATTTCTCAAGATCGGGCAGGATTTTACATCATATGGGGTTGCATGAGTTTAGTGCCTCCACTTTACCCTTTAGCAAGCTACTACCTCGTAAATCACCCTGTTCGCATTGGTCCTGTCTGGACTACCGTTATCTTAGTTGTGGGTATTGCATCAACTACAGTTAATTATTTAGCGGATCATCAGAAGCAAATAGTTCGTAAAACAAACGGAAACTGCAAAATATGGGGCAGAAATCCGGATATAATTCGTGCCAAATATCGTACAGAATCTGGCAATACAAGGGAGAGCATACTACTTACTTCAGGATGGTGGGGGTTATCAAGGCACTTTCATTACGTCCCAGAGATATTGCTTGCCTTCTGTTGGACAGTTCCGGCGGGATTTGAGAATTTATTACCCTACATGTATATCATATTCTTGACGGTGCTTTTGGTACACCGTAGTTTTCGTGATGAGAAAAAGTGCAGTACCAAGTATGGGGAATATTGGCAAAAATATTGCTTGAAAGTAAAATACAGAATCATACCTTACGTTTTCTAATGTAGACTAATAAACGTAACATCGCTTCAAAGAAAAACTTGCATATACATGTATATTTTATTGAACAATGTTTTTAATGATTCATTCTTTGCTGGTATAGATCGTGCTGTGTTTAACAATTACTTTGTTTTGAATAATTACTTTCAAAAGTGTATTCAAATAAATATTTTCTGTAATGTTTTAACCCCCCCCCCCCCCAATTATATTGTCATTTTTAGTTTCACTTTATCTTGTGTTTAACCACAAACAAAATGTTGAAATCAGACATAAAGAAATTATAACATTTCATGGAAACAATAAATTGAATACGAATTCACCCAGATATTTATCAATATTGTTGCTGATCATAACTACACGTATATGAAAGGTTCGTTAAAACATATGAGCCGCGCCATGACAAAACCAACATAGTGCGTTTGCGACCAGCATGGATCCAGACCAGCCTGCGAATCCGCGCAGTCTGATCAGGATCCATGCTTTTCACTTACAAACCCTTTAACAAGTAGAGAAAGTAATATATTCTCGGTGATCGGAAGTAACTCGTGCTTGTAAATCGCAAGACAGGATACACATATAATTCTATAGTCTTTCAAGACAAGGGTACAGTCATTTCGTCATCTACTGTGTACATGTATATATGCAATAACCTGCGTCATTCATACAGAAACTAAGTTTCAAGTTACTGATGATGCACATAAAAGAAGTCAAGATTAAACAAAACTATAAAGATCGCATAAACTTCCTACTATGTCTCGTCAGATTTCTGATTCATTAAAAGGTTTCATATTAAACAAAGAAAGAATAAGGTACACAGGGAAGTTAGTACAACATTCTTTCAAAATGCTCCTGTCAAAAACATAATGAAATATTATATATATGTATAGTTTGAGTCAACAAGTAGACCCACTGTTAATGTGAATCAGGACTTTATAAACTATTCGATACAATGTACCATTTATAACATAACTTCATCAGCATGTACATATCCCGTACGTTTGACATTTCACTCAAATGTTACTACTTTAATACTAAACAATGTAATTTTTAAATTTCATGTTTTTGTACATGTATGACTGCGTAAGTTTTATGTTTTGTATCAAAATTTAAACGAATTGCCGCCAAAACGCAAAGGGGGTTATAGATATGAGGGGAAAATATGTGCATTTTTTCTAGGACAAAGAATGTGTCCCAGTTTTTTTAATACTACAATAATAGATATCGTATGATATAGATATACATCTGACGTGACGTATGTGTATCACACAATATATTCTTATGTACAGCTGCTTTTTATGACATTTATAGTGATTTTAATTTCCCTCATTAATCACAAATTATAAGCTTTTTATACAAACTTATGACAGACATCATTTTTACAAAAAAGAGACAAATTATTTCAAAGTCTCGCATCTTTCGGCAAAATGTTGGTCCATTTTTACATAAAAATAATAAAAAAATAAAACAATAAAGTTTCATTTTATCATGTATATCTTTTATATACATTTCACACTTTTATGTATGAAAAAATATAAAGGGTAATAACTTTAAATATCTCTAAAATAATGCAACAAAGAGTTATTGTTCTTGTGCAGTGAACTTTTCCTTAAGGTACTGAAAAATTTACAACATATTTCCTTAACGGGCCACCCTGTATGCGCAAAATAAGTGTGTATGAGTTATGAAACTTTTATAAACAAGTCATTGAATATTATCCGAGAGATTACATAAATAAATTTTTAAAAGACAAAAATAAAGAGAAAAGTTGACCTACTGAGGTCTAAGGTTTGACCCTCTGACCCATAGTTCAATGCAGTTGACAGTATTTTTAGCCTATATATATACCTCTTTTAAAGTGGAGTGTAAAATTAGGAAGGTTACTATTCTAAATAATGTTATATTAAAAAAAAAATTAAATAATTGAAATTTTTACAAAGGGCAATAAACTAAAAAATTATACAAATGTACCTTAAGAGCTTAAAGTTCTTACGCACTGCATTCTAAATAAAATATTTTTCATTTCTGAAATTTCAAGTTTGAATTTTTTTTTATGTTATGCCTTGACAGAAGTTAAGTATGTAAAACGCAAAGACGGGTCAATATACGCCCAAATGTAAATTTGATCGAGTAATAAACAAGTGGGTCCATTGGCCCTAATGCGCTCACCTGACTACTAAATGCAATTGATATAAAAAAGTGAAGTTACCAGGTCACGCCCGTTTAACTCACAACGAGTGAAAAATGTCCATCGGTAAAAATGTTGTTAGAATTCCGTTCCCGTTGTGAGCACCAAATTTATGAACGAGTGACACGATAAACAAGGTGTTTTTCTAATTTTTGAAAATTACGACATTTTATGAAAAATATCGGATTGAGTTTTCGGAGGGATAGCGATTGTGGTTTCCCGATTATGCAATGTAAAGTTTTTTTTGGTGTGGAAAATTTTGATGGAAATACGTTTGCGAAGCCAGGTCCACTCGGGGTTTACTGGAAATAGAACAACTTTTCTTTGACCCTAATTTAATTGAAACGTCGATTTCTGGTTGTTGACGTTTTTTGTGGAATTCAACCTTTAAACAGATGCCACAATCTTCGCGTAAATTATTATCTGAAAGTCTTCGTAGAACGGAAGCCTATATCTTTTTTGCTTTTAATTTTTTTTTGAGCCACCAATAACTCGTTGTGAGCAAAAAAAACCTAGTGGTTGTCTTGGTTTTTAATAGTAATTCAAATGGAAGAATTTACAAATTTTCAATCTACCAAAAATTTCAAAAGTTTTTTTGTAAATGTTTTTCTTTTGCAATAGTTCTTTTTTTTTTTTTTAAAAATTTAATTCTTTTTCATTTTTAAAACCCAAAATAAAAATTTTGGTTTTAAAGAAGAATTTAAAAAGGGGAGAAAATATTTTTTTTATTTGTATACTTAGGTGGACGATGAACCACGCGGTTTTTTATGATATTTCAAAAAAATTTTTACAACCCTGGGTGATACACACTTTAATTTGTTTTACCCTGAGCTAAAGACGGCCAAGTTATTAAAAAAAACCTATCAGGAATTTGAAAAAATCCCCCTGAATTCTTTTTTTGTTTTTTGGCCCAGTTTTATTGTTTTTAAAAATTTTAAATTTAATGTGAAGGTAATTAAGGGTCAAGGTAAAAAATATGGGGTTGGGGAAATTTTTGCCCAAAAGGGAAATTGTTTTCCAAAAAATAATTTAAATTTCCCACTTTTTAAAAAGGAAATTAAAGGGCCCAAATTTAAAGTTTTTGGATTTTTGGGAAGGTCTTTCCACGGGAAAAATTTAAAAAAAAAAGATCTTTAAAGGGGGGTTTGTTGTTTAAAAATTGGTAGATCCGTATACTAAAAAGGGAATTATTGCCCAATTTTTTTTTTTTGGAAAATTTTTGATTTCAAGGGGGAAGTCTTAGGGCAAGGCCCAAAAAAATTTTAAGGATTTTAAAAGGGCCTTGTAAAGAGTTTTGGGTCCCAAACTTATGCCGGGACTTAGGGAAATTTTAAAATTTTTTTTGGGAAAATTTGATTCAAGGAAAAGGCCCATTCGGGTAAAGGGTTAAAAAAATACGGGTCCGTGGAAATGCAAAGGATGTTGTTTTCAAATATAAATAAAACCCTTTTACAAATTAAAATTTTGGGCCCAAATTTTAAAAGTTTCGGAAAGTTTAGGATTAAAGGGACTGACAGACGGACAGTTCAAAACAATTGCCCCCCTTTGGGGGGTATGACAAGTTTGCAAAAATTTGCTGCTGGGGAAAAAACTTTTTTAATTGCGGGGTGGTCTTAAAAATTAAAATTTTTTCACCATTAAATTACTTTTAAAACCATAACCCCAAAAGTTTTGCTTGCTAAAACAGGTTAGGGTGCTCAAAACGGGGTTTTAAAAAAAAAGGGTATATCTTCGTTTTAAAAAATTTTTTCGAAATTTTTTTTTCCAAAGACTTGTGGGATCTTTTTGGGTTTAAAAATGCAAAAAAACTCCCCAGAATCGACTTTTTCAAAAAATTTTAAGGTCAAAGAAATTTGTCTAGTTTTAAAGTAGGGGTAAACGGGCCGCAGGTATTAAAAATTTTCCCCCAAAAAGGCAATTTTTACATGTGAAATCCCGGAAAACACCCGCTAGTTTAACTGCATTTTGATTTTTTACAAAAATGTCTTTCTTTCAAAAATTATAAAAAAACTCCCCCTTGGTTTTACGGTCAAAATTTTAAAAAGATGGGTGCTCAAAACGGGGAAAGGAATTGCTCAAACTTTTTTACAAAGGGAAAATTTTTCACTCTTTTGTGATTTAAACGGGGTGAGGTTTTAAATTAAATTTTTTCCCCCAGGGAAAATTTTGAAAACTTTGGGTTAGAATTTTAGGGAAATTCCCCATCCAAATTCTAAGCTCAAAGGCCCTTGTATTAGAAAAATTTTTTTTTTTTATTTTTTAAAAAATTGGGCCCCCCCCGGGGTTAGGTTGAAAGGAAAAAACCTATGACCCCAGGGGGGGGCCCTTTTTTGCCCCTAGGGTTTATAATTGAAAAAACTTTTTAGGGGAAAATAATAATTTATATATCAAAAAATCTAAGCTCAAACCTTGGGGTTTTAAAAACAAAAAGTTTTTTTTAATTTTTTAAACTAATACATAAAAGGAAAAACCTATGACCCCCCATGGGGGGGGCGGGCCAAAATTTTGGGACCCCAGGGCTAAATTTTGGAAAACAACTTTTTGTAAGAGGAACCCTATAGGTGATATCATATGCCAAATTTCAAATCTCTACAAGGCCTTGTATTTTCAGACAAGAAGATTTTTTAATTTTGCATTTTTTTCTGACCTTCGGTGACCTACTTATGCAACCGACATAACATTTGAAACAACTTTGGGCAGGCGGCACCAAGAATCATTCTGGTAAAGTTTTGGTTACTGTTGGGGGGCAATAGTCATTGGTTTTCTGAGGTGTGATGTTGTTAAAGAAAAATTGTTGCCGCACGACACACGACGACGGACGGTCGGGGGATCAATTTAGCTCACCATGGAGCACGTTGTGCTCAGGTGAGCTAAAAAAAACTTATCTTATCAATTGAGGGGATAAGACCTAGTCTTCATTGAAAGACATCGCATTTTCTTTTTTTTTTACAGTTTGAAACACCCAAGTTTTTCGGAAAATGTGAATTGTTTTAAACGGATTTGACCCATGTAAAAAATAGCTTCAAATCCGCGGTTACGTCTTAATATTTGGACTTGGATAAGACCCAACCAAGAAACTTGTCTAAAAATGTTTTATCTTAATAATTAACGGTCATTTAACCTTATGATACTAA